CTCTCTCTCTCTCTCTCTCTCTCTCTCTCTCTCTCTCTCTCTCTCTCTCTCTCTCTCTCTCTCTCTCTCTCTCTCTCTCTCTCTCTCTCTGCATTAGCTAATATAATATATCCATCCTTTTTACCTGCAGCCCCTAGGCTTTCTTTTGCATATCTAAATGATTTTGCTCAGGGGGAAGCAATATGTATATTTGCTCCCTCGGGTAAACCACTATCTAGTAAGTGTTATTAGGACACCAAATTTGGGATGGGACCCACTAAACCTAGTGACATAACCTATAAAAACATTCAATACATACTCTAAAAGGTTTATGAAGTAAATCATGCCTTAGGATTGAACATAGGCTGTCCAACTTTTGAGTGGTGAGATCTAGGTCTTCGCTATCATCATCATCAGAGTTTTTTTTCAACTATTTGGAGTTGGCTACACGAGTCTTAGTCCGTCATTCTATTCTATTAAGAGTCATACCCTGAAGTTGTAAATCGCCCCATTTGGACATAGATCCATAAGGAAACATATTTTGCTTAAAATGCATATTGCCATAAGTTGTTATGTCACAAAATGCCTTTGAGTTGAAATGTCGTTTGGGGCTATTAGATGCCTTTCATGAATTTTGCTTTATGTATTTGTTCTACCTGTTCACTGAATGCTCCTAATTGAGTATTATGTCTACTCCTAGACAAACTTCTCTTACCATCTTATGTCTCCATGGTAGATACTTTCGGGAGAGCAAACTGTATATTTATTCCTCGGGTGGAAAGAACTCTTTAGAAGGATTTCCTCAATATGAAATTTCGGAATCTACCTGATGATCAGTAGATTAATTTAGAAAAAAGATGGATTTTGAGTTCCTTGGTTTTTACCCAAGGGAGTAAAGGGAAGAGATGCTCTACTTCAGTTTTCTTTCTCTCCGTTGCTAGCGGAGGTTTTCTTTTTTCTTGTTACCGATTCTTTTCTTGTTCAACTAGCTATGTTTTCATGCTCGACTTGCTTTTTTTAAATAGACTATTACCCCCCATCCTCAAAGGAAATATCTACTCGATTGCTCGCTTTCTTTAAGTAGACTATTGCCCCCCATCCTCAAGGGAAATATCTACTTGATTGCTAATTGATAGATAGAAAGAGACCGATAAATCAAAGCAAGTGCTTGCTGGCTACCAATTGCTACCTAACCAGAGAAAGTTTTTAAACTCCTCGCTGTCGCTGGCTATTGTACAGCTTTAAGCATAGAATCTTTTGATTCAGAAAAAGTCTTTTCAATTTTTGTGAGATTTAAGTTTTTAGAAAACTTATAGGAGTTTAGTAAAGGCACATAGGAGTTTAGGAAGGTGAGATAGAGAAAGTTGGATGTTGAGAGAAAAATAAAGGAGAAAAACTTTCCATTTGTCAAATATTTTATGAGTATCTTTTAATTCGATTTTTTTAAAAAATAGGGATTTAAGAATATCAGTGAGATTTAAAGGAGAGAAAGATATACATAACATAAATAAAACCATTAAAAAAATGGAAAATTTTGTATAGAACTTTAACTCGTCGTGGTATTTCATGGTGGACCCTCTTTTCTTTCTTTTCTTAAGCGGTAAAAGGAAATCCTCAATGATTTCACCCTAACCCTCGTCTTTTATCTCCGTCTTTTCCATCTGTTATTAACTTGTGACTATAAAAATTAATTTCAAAAATTTTTTTTATATCATTTCATCTCAAATGTTTTTTAACCATCGTTTTCCCTTTCCACCAATTAAAAAATAATTAAATTGAAATGATATAAAAAAATTTGTTGAAACTAATTTTTATAATTAAAAGTCAATAAAAAAGAGACAAGATATACAATAAAATCTTTAAAGATTTTTTTATACCACTTAAAAGATCAAAATACCCAACAAAAAAACATCCAAAGATAAGTAAGAAAACATGATGCATTTTTTTTATGAGTGCATTACAAGATGGCAAACAAATAAATTAAAGAACCAGGCCTTCACTTTGTGAATGTTGAGCATCAAAGAATTTAAGAATAAAAAATCTTTCCCATGAGAACTTTGCCTCTCTATACTTTTCTTCCAAAAGCTAAAGCCAAGAATGACGATCTATGAAACTGTAAGTTAGAGGTATCGGCCACTTCAGACAGAATTCCACATGTAAGAATAATGACCTACGAAACCCTAATTTATAGGTGTAAGCCAATCAAGACAGAACCCTAGTCCTGTTGGAATTCGAATTGCAAATTTTTAGCTCACATTTATCATAATCAGATTATTTGTATCTCATATTTATCTTAATCAGATTGTTTTTATTTCATATTCATCTTGGTGAGATTGGATAGCGTAATTTTCTTATTCATCTTGATAATATGATCTTTAAAAAAGAAAAACCCCGTGGACATTTACAAAAAATATATACAGAAAAGACTTAGAAACCGCCTCTTATCAATTCCAAAACCCTTTTCTTTTACGGATACAAATTGGGCTATATCTTGCACAAAGACACCATTTTCGAGAGAGAAAGAGACAAAACGGGGGAAGCTCTCTGAAAGTTGGAACATTAACCCCCAAAGCCATAGAGGGTCCTCCCCTGCCTCTTGAGAGCATAGACCACATCCATGGCGGTCACAGTCTTCCTCCTTGCATGCTCGGTGTAGGTAACAGCATCGCGAATAACATTTTCAAGAAAAATCTTCAAGACCCCTCTGGTTTCTTCATAGATCAAACCACTGATCCTCTTCACTCCGCCCCTTCGAGCCAAACGCCGAATTGCAGGCTTAGTGATCCCCTGAATGTTATCTCTCAAGACCTTCCTGTGCCTCTTTGCTCCTCCCTTTCCCAGGCCCTTTCCTCCCTTTCCTCTTCCTGACATCTCTCTCTAACCACAGAGGGGTGGGATTTTTCTCTCTCTAAAATTGGGGGTCTTTCTCTCTCTACAAGTGGGAAGCTCTCTCACACTGAATGCATAGCTCGACGAAATGAGGCGGTATTTAAACCTTGAGTTGAGGATTGAAAGAAATGGAGACCGTTGGATCTCTCGGTTAATCGACGGTAAGCTCGGTCGATCCGTGTGAGTTGGCTGAAATCAGTGTTAGTCGTTGGATTTTAATCTGTGGACGGTTCATATTTTCTGTGCTTTCTCTGTCTTGCCGTATTGGGAAAGACCGGGAACTTGGTGTGCTTCTTTCTTTTGTCTAAGATTTTGTTTATATAGAATTAGAGAGGGTAAGGTTTTGGTGCGCCCGCAGTTGCTCCTCTTTATCTGCGCCTCATCCAAAATGCATCTCGGAAATGGATTCTGGGCGTCGCTATTACATGCAATCTTGGTTTCACTTGTACGAGTCCTTTTCGTTTGGTGAGAAATATGAAGCAGTTTCGATCCAGAAAGGTTTAGGATTTTTTTAAAAGAACTTAACATCACATTTCACTTTGCATCTATGATTCTAATTTTAAGGTTGCAACCTTATTAAAACTTTTCCCATCTTTTAATTACACCCTCCATTCGACTTCTTTACATATCAATAGATTTTTATTATTTTTTGAATCTCAACAAAAGTTTTTATAGCATAATTGTATTTCCTTTTATTTAGGATTTAATTACATCATAAATCTATGAAAATATTTGGGCCCATGTGGATCCCTGGAAATACTTTTTCTCGAGAGATTTATTTCATGTGAAATATATTTTTGGTGATAAATATTTTCTTGAAAATCAATTTTTGTTTTTTGGGATAACAACCCACCTAGAAAATACATAAAATGGACTCGTGAGTATGATAACTTCAACGTAAAAACGTGCGATAATTAAAACAAAGATCGGCAGTTATTGCATGTTATTTTACTAGATTTCCATTTCCCATGTAAAAACTACTGCATGAGGTTTTTTTTTCCAATTTCTTTATCTTGTGTCCCTTCAATATATCATTTTCAAATATTAAAGGATGGAAAAAGTGTATATAAGGTTGTAACCTTGAAATGTAGAATTAAATATGCACTTCAAAAATCCATCAAAAAATATTATTTTAATGTTGAAAAACCCTCTAATTGATCATCTCAACATTGAGATATATGAATATGAAAAATAAAAAAATTAAATTAAATCCCAAAAATAGTGCATCTTGCAATACACTATCTAGACCGTCTATTTTCAATATTTTCATATGTTTATAGATATACTTACTTTGAACCATTTTTGATGTTCAAAATTTTATAATTAGATGTGAAAATAGATTTTCAGATAATCCTAATAATTTTTACACCAAAATTACTTGTTATGAAAAAATTTGGAGGCACACCTTAGTTGAATTGTTTAAGGTTGCAATGGTATAGAAACCACACCGATTTATCTATCGATGTAATCTAGGGCCGGTTCGGATGTTAATAAAAGAACCTTCGTAATGTAAAAAATTCTAAGGTTTTCCCCCGTAATTGAGAAATATATTTAAATGTGTTGGTAAATTGTTGAATTTTTTCTTTTCTTTTTTTGCTAGATATGTCTCTTTGATGCCTTGCTACAAATTCTGACTTCACATAAAAAGTTGAACCAACCTTGGATATTAATTTTGCTTTTTTTTTTATGGTTTTGATAAACAAATAATGTGAAATAAAATAAATTGTTTTATAGACATAAGAGAAAAGAATGAGCAAATATATTTAGAGCACCCACTTTTAAAGGTCAAAACACACTCGAGATAAACCTCTAACAAGTCAGAGCATGATTCCGATCTCTTAGATAAATCTCCTGGCAAGTCTGAGCATGATTCCGATTTTTGAGACATGGTCCTTAGAGCATGTTAATAGCCAACAACCAAACTCCATCGCCTTTCCAAGAATAAATGTGATACTCAACATGGGTTAAGAAACCGCAATTACAGTTTCAATCTCACAAAACCAAGAATAATCACAAAACTTTCTACCATGTCATGTATAACCGATCTTAAATATGAATAAATACAATGAATCCAGTGGCAGAATACAGGAAAGAATCAGCCATGCTCTTTATACAGCAAGGCAATCAAAGAATCACTACAGAATCAACAGTCTAAACTCCAACTCAGACTACATCATTCTTTTTTCCGGATCAGTTTCTTAACCCTAACTAGATCACAAGTGACTTCACCTTCGCCTGTTTTCTGGATCAGTTTCTTAACCTTATATAGATCACAAGTGGCTTCAACTTTCGCCTGTTTTCCGGATCAGTTTCTTAACCCTAACTAGATCACAAGTGGCTTCACTTTTCGCCTGTGCCCTACACTGTTCACGAGAGCCTTCCTTGTGCAGACAGGGAACATGTTGATTTTAAGGGCATTCAATCTTCTAAGGACATATGGGAAGCTGAGCTGATCGCGTGAGGTGAAGCGAATGACCTCATTGAACCAGTGACACATCAGTAGATTGGTGAGAGGGGTGTGCTCCCTCACAATTACTGAAGCTTCAGCTAGAGCTGCACAGACCAACAAACCATGTACACAAGTTATTACTATGGAGGCCAAGGAGTGATTATAATTGCAGGAAAGGGATTTTTCTACTTGAAAATAAGGGAACCTACAGAAACAACACTGGCTCTTTTAATATCTATAAAAAGAAAGCGATAGAAATTCATAATTTTTACGACTAGATAAATTACTAGTGGACATTAAGAAACCATAGGAGCAACCTTGACTGCTACATTAAGTTGATGAAAACCCCCCTTTTCTTTACAGTGTGCTGCAATTTGCTGACCCCAAACCTCTCCTTGACAAAATCTCTCTCTCTCTCTCTCTGCAACCCCATCTAATAACCAGTTGGCATATACAAGCCTACTACTAATATGTAATTATGTATCGCAATAATGATATGATGCGAGTCTAAATATTCAACAAAATCAATTCCGACCTTCTAGAGCAAATAAGCTGCAAAGTTAAAATTATGTTGATTCATTATTAATGTGGTGGTAACTGGGGTTTTGCAATGATGAAAAATAAGTATCTTGAAATTTTAAGCACGGAATGACTCAGCAGCCACATGCAAATTCATTATGCAGACAAATGATCTAAGATTCGAAAGACAAGTATAATAATGGGTCAATGCATGCAGCTAATGGTGAGGTGGGTCATGGGCACACTTCATTTTAGAGCCACATTAGTAACAAAAAGGTCCAGCACTTCAGCATTTCGTGCCATCAAATAAATCACAAACAGCGGAGCTCCAAATGGAAACAATTAGAAGATTCATAGAAATGAAACCATGGAAATGTAGATTGGCATATCCAAGTCTCTAAAATAGTGGTTAATTACAGAGCATTCTCCTCTTACATCCTTAGCATTCAGCTCCTTTTCAAGCCAGGGTAATATGGATGACATGCATTCAATGCTCAAAGCTAGAAGGATATTTCTTCCCAATATCTTATAAAGCACATAATGGTCAATTTAGACGGTCCAGGCATTGATTTGATAATGAACATCATCCAAACCAAATTATATGAACAACAAAGACAACAAGGCAAACAAACCCCAACAGTTAGCTTCCCACCACCAATATCATGTATGCACATAGGCCACATGCATAGCAAATTCTTATGCAAAAAAAACCTAAAAAGGAATAGTCCAAATCGCTTTAACTGAGGAAATTCAAGTGTCGTTAAAGCTAGTCATTGAGATTTAACGTTCTCTCAAATGCAAGAGTCGATCTTACTACGAATTTCAAGTTCTTCCAGAAATATTTTTGGTAGATTACACAGGCAAAGAAGATTGGGGTTGGGGTTGGGGGTGGGGGTGGGGGTTGGGGGGGGAGGGGGGGGCTGCTGTTGGGAATGCAACACTAAAAGGTTACCTTTCTTCCCAGTAGATTACACAGGCAAAGAAGATTGGGGGGGGGGGGGCGCTGCACTAAAAGGTTACCTTTCTTCCCACGAAACCTCTTGAATTCAGGAAATCCATCACGACGATATTGAGCAAGTTGCAATTCTACTTCTTCTGGGGTTGCTTTGTGTTTCTTTACAACAGCCTTTCCCTCATCATAGATGGAACTTCTAGCTCCATGTTCTGAAATTGCAAGAGAATAATTTGTTCGCCATAAAAGTGCTTCAAGAACACCTATAGGGTCCCTCCGAAACTGAGATTTCGAATCCACCCAAATTGAATATCTTGCCTGAGGGAAAAGGCGATGGCTCAACATCTGGTTTCAGTAGCACAAAATCAGGAAACCCGTATCCACATGCTGTACAATAAAAAACACTACATATTATCCTTAAGGCTAAATCTGAAATCTTGGTCCAACATATGACATTGTACACATAAAATATAGACAAAACATTGTACACATGAAATATAGACATCCATCTATTATGCTTAAATATAAATTTTCCCTTTTTTTACTAGTATTCAATAAATTAAGTACTACTACTGCATCTCTATCACTCTTTTGTTACAGTTCAGTGTTTTCTATTATCTCAAAGAGTAGTGATGCTAATCTTTGGGACCTTTATGTAGTGCACTCCAAAACCTCGTTATGAAACTTGAATCTTTGCAAGAAATGCTACCAAACTACAGAGAGAGGAAAATCAGGGTCATACAAGGAGTTTGTGCACCTGCATGCATGCATGTATATGATAACTTTCATGTACGCTACAAACCAAAGATGGAAACAAGGGCAATGTGAAGAGTGTGCAATTTAGTCACACATGCACATGTCCAAGCACACAGCACAACAAATGTAATTCTTGCATTTATGGTCCTTCAGAAAAAAGAATAATCTCAACCACCTTACCATAATGATCTAAATCAATCTGAAATTATTAAGCCATAAGAAAAGGGAAATGGGTGAAGAATCAAGAACTGCTTAAACCATACTGGGAGCAGATGATACCTTGGGAATTTTTCCATTCAACCGTTGATCAGTAAAAGGAAGATTTTTAACAACCAATACACGCCATTTTCCTATCATATTGTCTTCACCAATTCTTCTCCCTTCTGCTTCTTGTGTTGCACGAGTAATCTCATCCCAAAATGCCACATAACAGACCTGCATCCCCGCCACCATTATTGACTTAATACATACTTCAGAACAAAGTAAGATATAAAGATGTAGTATTCATTTGTGAGGGGATACCTTTCTAAGGGATGCTTGGGACATTCCAATAGGTTGATAGAGATCATCTCCACCTCCAAATGCACAAGTAGATACAACCGCTTTACAACTTTGCATGAAATCTTTGTCAGCATCAGAAATTTCAAACCCTCCATTTTCACTGTAGAAACCACATTGCACCATAACAGTTTCCTTTACCTGAAACAATCATTTATTCTCAATAACCAACATGATATATTGAAGTTAAGGAAATGTTAGTTAGAAGAAAAATAAACTTCAATAGTGAAAGCTAAAGACTTTAGAAATTGCAATTTACGATTGACTTTACAAAAGATATATGCAGGGCAAGTGAGTATACTTTATCCCATATAAAGGAGTCTTACAATAGAATAAATACTAAACCCAACCATATGCAACCCAACTAATTAGACCTAACCTTAAAGCTCTTTTCTCTTTCAAGTAGGCTTTGGTACCCAGTGAAGGCATTAAATCTTGAGCCCTCCTTATACAGTTGAGCTGGTGTGTTCTGAATGCCTTCATTCTTATCTGATTTATATACAACTTTTTTGACAAAAGAATTCGTTTCTGTGTCTGATGGAAACTCCATATGTTGAACTTCTTCCAAGGGCAAAATCTTCAAGCAAGCTGATGCAACACAAGCATCAAAGTATCAGACCAGAAGTTAGGTATTAGATCAAAACAGCCAATTTACTGACTTCACATTAACATTCAAGTGAAGAAACAGGCTAATATCAGACTAAAAGCAAATACCATGCTAAAAGAGTGACTATCACATCGTGATTACTAGTTTTTTCTGCTCATGTTACTGCAGAGCCATGATTTACATTTTAGAACACTATCAACTTGTAAAATATCAGCAGCATAACTTATCACCATTCATAAAATGGCTTAAGTACACCAAAAAGATAGAATTAATACCAAAAAAACTGACTCTGGAAGAAATTAGTAACCAAACATGTGAGATATCATGATCCAAAAAATTCAGAGTTGCATGCCATACATATGATGAACAAACAATCTAGGAAATAAATTATCAAAACAGGTAACAGAAATATTAAAAATTGAAACAATTTAGACTATTACAAAACCAAAAATGTCAGTCAAATTCAAATTTGCCCTAATCAATGCTTCATAGGATTATTCTGTACAGATGGATAGAAAATTTCTATAAATGTTTTTATTAAAAGATAATGAAGTAATAATATCATGTTGCACAAGTGAAAATATAGCTTCCACAAGGTCTCTGGAAGTTAAATTACACAGCAAGGTACCTTGCAACAGATATAAACAAATGCCAGAAATTTCATAAATGAGTTCTTATAACCTAAAAAACAAGCCATAGAAGGCTTGTGCTGGATCCTCAAGGCACAAATTGGATGCAAGCCCTGTCATACAACCATTAGAACCAGTTCAATTACAGGAAGGGTACCCTCGTGAACTTAGAAAAAATAGCAATTATTAATAACAAAACCAGTTCAATTGGTTTTTTTTTTGGTATAATTATGGACATTCCAACAGTCTTTAGGAGGAAATGTGGAAGGCAGTGTACTTCTCTATTCGGACTAAGCTTTACAAACAGGTATATTGTGTTGTTTTCCTTTTAAGTTTTCTTTGTTGGATTAGGATGAATGAGTTGTAGCAGAAAATAGTAATGAACCTTCCATAGACCTAGGCCTAACTATCTCAACTCTCAAGACAGTATCTAGACCTTACGTAGTAAATTACAATCTCGGAACCAGATAGGTTCACAGATAACCTATCCTCAGAATAAGTTTTTGATCAGGCTTAACATGTACAACTAAGCTTTCTGACCGGGTATGATGCATTGTTTTCTTTTTATTATGCTAATTTTTGTTGGATTTGGAAGAATGAAATGGGGCAGGAAATAGAATGAACAATGGCACCTTGTCACTGATTAGAGACATGGTTTACAAGCACTACCTAAACTCTCAAAATAGTATTTACACCCTGATAGAATTTCAGAATGTTACAGAGAACTCTTTGTATATATTCTTTTTTAAAGAATACACAAGACCCCATATAAATATACGACCAGCAACAGTTAAAGATAAATACCAACATTTATTGATAGCTACTAACTAATCTTATCAAGAGATATATATCCATACAGATACATATGTATTGACATGTATCCATACTGATACACATCCATAAACTGATATGTATCCATACTAATATATATCCTTCCTAACACCCCCCTCAAACTCAAGATGCTTTGCGAGAGAGCAGCTGGAGTTTGAATACTAAATTGCAACAACGAGCACTTGAATCTTCAGGTGCATAGCTTCAGATTGCTTCAGGTGCACAACTTCAGATTGCTTGATCAACAAGCGCAGTTGAAGCTTCAATTTGGAACTCAGATAAAATCCAAGATAGATCACCAGGCAGAACATGCTTGAGCAATGACATATCAACAGGCCTCAAGAACATATGGCCATATCAGAGTAGGCTCGAGTAATTAAACAAAAAAATTCCAGATCTTCCCTGAAGACAGAAAAGCAGTCGAGACAGCTGAGAAACAAAATGGCACTTGGAAGAGCCAACTAAACTCGGTGTGGATCCGAGACAAATTCAACAACTCGAAGATCAAAACAGACATAATTGAGTAACGAAATACTCGATCTTCAGACAGGATCGAGTAACGAAAAACTCGATCATCATACAATATCCAACATGACTGGGTAAAATTTTAGACGGATCTGGACACTAAGATCAAGATCCAGAGGCAAAAGTAGTTAGAGGGGCGGTTTTTCAAATGTGGCAGATTGGTCGTTTTTCAGATGTTGATTTAGACGCAGGTTTCAATTCGACAACTTTTGTATAGATGAGGACGACTACTTTCATTGCTATTGGATTGTCGAAGCCGTTTCTAGAGCTTCCGGACAGCATTTTACTGCATGTAACCATCTTTATGGTTGCAAAATGGTTGAAAGCAGTAATGGGTGCAAAATGGTTATTGCAAGTGCAAGGGATTAGAGTGCAAAAAATTCAACGGAAGCAAGAGGAAGCAAAGGCCTTTCTTATGCAAAAGGCAATATTAGAGAGAGAGGCAGGGGATGTCACGTGGAGAGGCAGGTGAAGTCACGCAATACCAAGGTGGCATCGTACAACGGCAAAGATGGAGCTTACTCGATCAATGGAAGGCAGGTAAAATCTCGCAACAGCAAATCAGTGGCTCGAGGAACATCCATGACTCACGCAAGACCTTGTATTCTATCACACCCCACATGGTAAGTTATACACTGAGTGCCATATAGGTTCATGGAAAACCTATCCTTGGGACATAATGAAACAGAAAGAAAGACTTTCTCACTTATCTTGAACAGGAGCAGTAAGACTCACAGAGACACCAAAGTTTTGCCTTATGCGATTTAGAGAGAGAAAATGAGTTAGAGAGAATCTGGGTGTCTAGAGAAAGGGTCCCTTACCTTAGGTAGAGTCTCCAAGGATTCATCCAAAACCTTGAGAGAGGATTCATCTCTTATTACTGTCAACAAATTTTTTCACTGTTAACAAGGACTAATTCAAACTCCTAACTGTCGTTAAGCTTAGCACTTGATGACTATTAATCTCCATTTTCAAACAGTCAAAAACTGACAAAGTGTTTGTGTAGGCGATTTTTCCCATTGGATAAAATTACCTAGTAATAGTTCCAAAAAAACAAAAGGAACCACAAACACAAACTGCACATTCACGCTGGGGATGTCTCAGTGGCAATATGATTGTGAAAAGCAAAAACTCTGCCCCAAGTGCCTTTGCACATGCATACCTACTGCACAAGCTCATATGGGTTCTTTTTTCTCCTCTGCGTAAGGACACCAGAGGCAGAACAAGCAACAATAGATAAATACCTCTCCTCTTCTAAACTAATGATATGGGTCTAGAAAACATGACACAAATTGCTTTCAGAAAGTACAACTTTACTTTTTGAGCTGGATTCTGGAACTTTTTGGGTGTTTGGGTTTCTTTCAGCTATGTAAATAGTGCTTTCTTTTTGACTAATTCTTTGTATGTGATTTCAAGGCTGAGAGTGTCTGGACACTATTATACATTGTAAGCACCTCATTACAGCAATACAAAAGTAATATGAAGTTAACATTTCACCAAAAAAAAGAAAGTACAAGTTTCCTGTTTGAGAAAGCATAGTATATATCATATAGTTTATTGTATTTTAAAACAAACCTAAGTATTCTTCCTATGCAAAACTAGTACATGCTTCTTTCTAATAAGCATGTTATTGCATTGTGTGGTCTAGCTCTGGAGCACTTGTCAAGCATTTAGAAAGGAACAATGAATTTCCCATTGTTGGTTGTTTGAACCCAAGGATTTACAAAATCCTTAAGAGCCAATTCACACTTAGGATTCAAGAGGAAGACCATACAGCACATGGATCCTAACAATGGATAGATAACATAAAATCTGATGCATAATGGGAGTGTCACGCGAATAAGAATCATATGATACTGAAAAATTTGGCAACAAAGCATTTGTAAAATAGGTTTCCAAAATGATCCCAGTATTTAATCCACACATTATTGATTGCTAGATAACATACTGATTATTCCAATCTAACAAAAAAACAAAGAACTTGTCAAATTTTGATATTTCATAACTGACCTATCAAAAGAGCCAAAAAGGCAAAAACAACCACAAAATCCAACACATAAATTGAAAGTCTGTCAAAAAGAAAAAAAATTGTCAAAACTCGATACTTCATTCAGTCATAGGTGATCTTCCGACGATTAAGCTTAGTCCTACAAGTCTTGCAATTGCGCAAAAAACGTAGGTTTGAAATGAAGGGTTAGTTTTGAAATGAAACTAAGACCCACATTTTCAATGTTTAAAATAACCAAAAATTCAGAGGGGCTCGACTGCCTAGGCAGCCGGTGTTGTCGCGCGAAAGCACCTAGGTGACCTCCCAGGGGCAAGCTACCTAGCGCCCAGGCCCTCTAGACAGCCTAGGCGTTTGGAACAATAATCAGAACTCTAAAGTTAAACGTGATTGGGAATATTATAAAAAATCAGAGTAATGACAATAAGCAGAGGTAACACCTAGCATCTAGAATTCATATAAAAAACAGCAAAATACGCAGTAAAAACCAAACAAGTAATTTATTGAACGCAGGATCATGCCAGTTTCCCAAATTGCTTTCAGAATATCCAATTCCATAAAAGAAATAACAAGCTAATGGTGATGATATACTCACGCTCGCGAGTTCCATTAACAATTCTGGTAGGCATATCAAGGCGACCTAAATTACTTGTGGATTCAATCTCCCTTCCATATCCATGGTTATTACGCTTTGGCTTCAGCTCTAGTTTCGGCTTTAACTTTGGGTCATCGCCTATCTTCTTCCCAATTCTCGATACCTCAAATCCCAGAACAAATATAGCGAGAAGAAAAACCAGAACAATCCACCACCTTGAAAGAAAATGAAGAAATCGAGTAATGAGATGGTTCCTGGTCCTGAACTCAAACTTCTTCTTTTTTCTCTTCGGCCTCGCCCTCATTCTACTGGTTTCATCAGATCCATCATCTGAAAAGCTGGGAATGGAGCTGTTCATGGTTGAGGACATTAGCAAAGCACCACCATGGTTGCAAATGCAAGAGCTTGGAGTATAGGAATAACAATTACGAGAGAGAGATGTGGAGATTAGGGCTACAAGCGCAAGGGGAAAGCAAGCCGGAAATCTCAAGAAGCCAATTTAGATAGAGAGAGAAGAAATCTAAGATAACCAGTAGAGAGAGAAAAAAGAACGAGTCTACAGTTTTGTGCTTTGGTTAATGGAAACCCAATAATAAGGGGGCTAGTTGTGGTGGATTACTAAAAGAAAACTATGGGTGGTTAAGATATTTTCTTTGGCTTCTTTATGTCATGAGAGAGGATATGCCGACCGTCCATCCATTGGTGAGGGACAATTGGACGGCCCTTGCCGCTTTAGTTGGAGTAATTAATTCTTCGATCTTAGTACCAATAATCGTTTTTGCGTTAATAACTTAATATTGTTTTTGACATATTTTATCGGGAATCTATTGGCTGGATCTTTTCTATCGGATTCTTGTAAGAGAATTTTATGTAATGAATTAATATATCGTTTCCTGTATATAAAAGAAGCAATATATATATTCATTCATTAAATGGCTCTGATGATAATGATTAATATATATTCATGGTTAAATATGTAATATAAAAATATTGAAAATTAAAAAGAAAGCTCTTGAAAATATCCTCAATATAAAAATCTTGAAAATATGGAACTAACTTATCATTTTATATTCTTAAAAATATCTTTTTGAAAATAGACAATTCAAATAATAATATTTTTAAAGTGAGGTTTGTATAGAGCTTAGGCTCTAAACAACCAAATTAGACCCTACCTTCAAATAGCATCGAAAAATATGGTTTCAATATTGGAAATCTTTTTTATAGCTTTAAATATATTTTTTATTTTTATTTATAAAGTTTAAAGCTTCAAAAATAATGTAAATCGAGAGATCTATGAAAACATGAAAATCTTTAAAATTTGTTATAAAATATACTATTTCCAAATCTTAAAATCTATTTTTTTTTCATGTTCATGTTTCTTGATGTCGAGATGATCAATTTGAGGCTATTTCAGCATAAAAACAACCTTTTTAGTGAAATTTTTTAGGTAGGCTCAAATTAGAGCCTCAGCTTGATCATTTACTTTTCATACAAGGTGGTTACAATTATTTACAATCATCCGATATGAAATTTGATAGTTTGGATGTGTCAGAATCGAATTTTTTTTTTTAAACTTTGAGTTTGGTTAAAAGAATAATTACAGCCGCTCAATTTCACATCCAATAGTCAAAGATTAATGTGACCACTTTAAATGGACCCATTATATACTTTCTTTTTATGTATCCATTGTTATTAATTTTATATGTAATATAAAAATATTGAAAATTCAAAAATATAAATTGTTGAAAGTATCCTCAAGATAAAAATCTTGAAAATATTGAACCAACATATCATTTTATATTCTTGAAAATAAGTTTTATTTTAGGACTTAGTTTTCTGTTTTTTTATAATTAATGGGTGGGGCTCTTCAATACCAGTTCGGTGGATTTATGAGGTGCGTATTACTTTTACAGTATATAATTAATAACTTCTATAATTTTTCCTCTAAATCAAGACAGATTTTTTTCGAGGTATATAATTAATACGATAGGTAATTTTTTCTCTAAATGCGCAAATCTAGATCAAATTTTTTTTCAAAAAGAGAAGAGAGAAACGTGGACAAAAGACTATTTTCTAAATTTTTATGCAAAAAATAAAAATAAAAATCACAAGCATAGGCATAAAGGAGAGAGAAGAAATTTTCTTCACATTGCGGTTCCAAAACTTTTAAAAAAATATTCAAAAGATTATTTAAAATTTTGTAAACTAAAATTTAAAAAAAACCTAAAAGTAGGATAAAGTGATTGAGTTATCTTCTACTATTACAGTTACCTTTCATCATGTTTATAAAGAAACAAACTCTATTGCTGATTTATTCAATAAAGGAGTTCTGATGGCCTCTTTATCGTTATGTTTATCTTCTTTGTTAATGTAATTTTTGTTGTAATATCTTTTACTTCTAATAATATTCGTTATTTTTGTCAATTTCTTTTTTTTTTAAAGAATCAAAATAAGCAGTAAACGAGTGAAATTCTTTAAAGCGCCGTCTCTATATAAACTTTTTCCTTTTTTTAAAAGCAGGAAAAAAGACGACGTTTGGAGAATATATAAATGAATAAATGTGGGAAGGAGAGAAAAAGCAGGGGAGAGCGATTCTTATGTATCCATCTGAGGACCACCCTGGAAAAAAAAAAAAGAAAAAAAGAAAAAAAAAGAAAAGAAATAAAAGGGCCAAAGTAAAAGGGGGCGTCGAGTTTAGAGAGAGAGGAAAAAAAGAGAGCCCAACTTCTATCAATCATCTTAGGTTTACATCTTTCTCTCTCTAGCGCTAGGTGGATCTCTCTATATCCACACTTACTGGAACAAGGGACCCAAAACCCACCCATCCTAACCTTCTCTAATGAAGTAACACTTCACTTTCTCTCTCTAAAAAGGGTCGACCCCCATTACTAATCTCTCCTTTTAAAACCAGGTACATTTTCTCTCTCTAAGTTGACCTCCTCTCCTTTTTTTTTTTTGCCTAACTATGTTTTCTTTAATACTAACCTGTTTTTTTCACATCCAATTCCACTATTCAACCATGCAACATGAAAACCACATGCAAACACTTGCTTGTTAGCAATGGATGACCTCTCTCTTTCATTTGTGTATTTGTTTTGGGGGTAAGGCTATGCATGTAAAACCTTCTTCTTAGTTGTTTTTCCCACTAGGGTTTTTGGCTTTGCTTTGAATATGTCATCAAAATGGAATTTTCTATGGGATTTGGGCCCTAGATTCTTCAATTAAGGGGCCAAAACACTTGGGGTTGAATCATTAGTTGATATTGATGCCAAAGTTTTGATTTTGTTTGATTTTCTTGGTGATCAACTTAGGCTTTTATGATAGAAGTATGTTTAGATCCAAATGCTGGTTGGATGATTGCTGGATATTGTGTTTTTCTTGTAAGAATTGGTTTTTGGATATGACCCAATTCTTGTTTCCTTTGGAGATGTAGTGCTAGGCATTGTTTCAATCCTTTAATCCTTTATCTATAGAAGCTTCACCATGTTTGGTCTCTCTCTCTCTCTCTATTTCTACAACCCCCGCCCCCCTTCTTTCTTCAGGTGGGCGGGTGTTTGGTTTTCAATAATATGTGTGGTACACGAATTATTATGATGATTTGAATTTTATAATATTGTATTTCTTTAAATGGGTAATTTTAGAGATTAATATTAGTTGCGTGGATTATGGGTACCGTTCTAGATTTGGAATTTAGAGATCAATTAGTAGATGTGTAGGGCAAAAGGGTCCTGCAAAAGGTCGTGCTTATTGTCATTGTGTTCTTTGGTTTTGGTTGGAACAGTGCATGGCCCACTTTCTTCTTCTCCGTGTTCTTCATCTTCATCTTATTCTTCTTTACTTTTTTCTTTTTTTTTTCTAATATTGGGTAAAGGCACTAAATTCTATTATTGGGTAAAATTGGTACATAATATAAGAGGCATTTGTCTTATGGGCACTTTTTTATGCAATCAAACATGGATGCCTTAATTGAAAGATTCACATTTCTGATCCTTACAGATTTATTTATGTTAAATTCTCTCATACTCAACAGCTATCGTTATAACTTGTTGCATAGGCACAATTGCATTTATTGGAAAAAAAATAAAAAAAAGGGCCCAAATGTTTTATAATTATGTTAAGGAAAATGGTTTGATAGGGCTGCAACCCTATTAAAACAAATAAAGCCTCACCTCATAACTCATCGAAAATTGTACTTAAAGCATTAGAAGAACTTTACATCAATCATCTTCGCTTGAACATTATGGCTGTGAAAAAAAACAAAAGGATTTCAAGTTCCAAAAACTGTGTATTGTAACAAATTATCTAGATCGTCCATTTCGCCCTAAAAATAAGTGTTCATAGATCCATAAGATTTGTACCATTTTTTGAGTTTCGTTGGTGTTCGAAATTGATGTTAGAGCCATCTTGGAGATTTCTGTTGTCAAAAAGGCTTTCTAGATGAGGATTTGAGGTGAGGCTTTATTTATTTTCATAAAGCCTAGGCCTTATAGAAACCTCATCCTTATGTTAAACATTGGTACGATTGTGATGAGGGAGACGTTGGCAAACACTCGTACTGTGAACGCGAATTGTGATCTAAAACATCAGCCATGCCATTAGCTTCCCAGTGTACATGTTGAAAGGGTATATCCTAAGGGATACCTATTTCAAGGATTGCTTTTGATAACTCCAAAGTCCTCTAAGGATCATTAGATTCCCTTATAGTCCACCTGATCGTGTTTAGATAGCTTCCTTATCAATTATAGGACTCGTGAATGTGAGAAGTAAAACAAAAAAATCAGTGAGGAGTTCCTTGGCCTTGTGTCCACAAAGTTTTCAATCTCACTTGATATTGCAAATGTCTTGTGCCTTCCCCAAAAGACACCCTTACCCCAACTCCAAATGGACCTGGGTGCATAATCTGTGCATCATATTGACTCTATTCTTGCTTGGTTTAGTTAATGAAGAAGGTAAGAACTATATTTTAAAATTATATGATCACAACAGGCTTAATTTAATGATTTATTTACTGAATAAGACAATTGTTTACCCGTCACCTCACCTTTCTTATTTAAAGGAAGATCATAACAATTGACACACATAATCCAACTTGGAAATTAGTGGTTCGCTTGAGTTTAAAAATGTTTCATCCTATAAATTTATGGAAAGTGTACTGTGATCCATATTAGGAAAGTATACTATGATCCATATGAAAAAAGAAAAGGTTAGTACTATAAGTATTATCACCGTCCAATAAATCTATGAACGGTGATGTAAAGAGAATGGGACCTAGCACTTCAGGCATGTCCTATTCTCATGGGTCCTACTCCTACCGTCCTTTATTTTGGTCATTAGGCATGCTAAGAGCCTTTCATGGCAGAAAATCTTGACCATTTATTGTTGTACGAAATGTTTTGTCTCAGTTGAATGCTGAATTACTGGAAAATAACATAGTTTTGCTTAATAAGAAGTGCACAGTCGATAGCCATGTAAGAACGATGTTACTATTCAATGCTGTGTAATGTCAACAATGCATCTCCTGATCATGAATTCGTTGAAAAAAAAAAAGTGTTCAACGAACTGTTTTATCCACTTTAAAATGCAAGTAAACTCAAAACACACGCATCACTGTCATTTTCTTACCAATCATATTGACTCAAGTTTGGATGACTATCTCATGAACTTAATTTTTCTCTTGTAGAACAGCTGTACAACTTAGTTAAACTATTTGTCCTAAAAGAACTAAAACTTATTTATACAGGAATCTTAACAAGGAGTTTGGGAGAGAAGGGGGTTTGGGTTATTATCTCTTGTAGGGATGGAAATCTCGAGAAATTGGAATTGCTATGCTCTCCTTCTTTGTATTAGGGTGAATGATAACATATTTACTCCTGAGCATATCAGTTTCTCATTCACCCACCTATCACCAAAGAAACAAAAGTCTCTTGGTCATCACCATATCTGTATCTACTACTGCTCTTTTGTAGCTAGCTTGTTGATTCCATTCCACTGCTAAGTTCATGATACCACTATTTTAATTGAATTTATCTTGCTAGATCCTTGACAAACTTTTGAGAGCATTATACACCACACACAACATGTTATTGTATCATTCTTCTCAAAAAAAAAAAAAAAAACAATGTTATTGTATCATGTCTAACCTAATATTTCCTATAACCTTATACAGAATGTTTAGATGCCTGAGCTTTCTGTGAATGGTGGTCATAGAATCAGAAAAACAGAAGTTGGTAAGTTTTACATAACTACTGAGCGGTTCTTATAACACCCATTTAAAGACAAAGAAATCAAGAGATTGTATCACATTCAAATGTTTAGAAAGGGGTCATGGAAGTACTGCCATGCTCAAAAATTCAGTATGCAGGGGACTCTAACCGTTGTCAACAAAACCTGGGAGATAAATCTGTAAATACCATCCAGGTGGAAGGTGTTGCCCTATTAGATGCAAATAGACCCCAACAAGGCATGGTATATGAGATATCTCATGGCCTCTGCAATGGACAAGGTTCTTTCCTGAGTGTGGATCATCATAGTCCAGAATTGCTTGATAGATCAGTAAAAGATGCTAGGGTCAAATGTTCTCAACAAGGGCCTGTACATGAACTAGCAAATGGATTTTGTGAACAAGGTAGAATCCCAGAAAATAAAGAGGAAGACTGTCATTCAGTGAACTTTGTTAGGAAAATGCCCCAGGACCAAGCATCTCATATTCCTCAAGAAGCTGGAAATGCTCAACACCAAGCATCAGAAACTGCACATGGAGTCGAAAAAGCTCCACCCCAAGTTCAAGTATCCGGTATGATGAATGAAATAAATAAAGTACCAAAAAGTGGAACCCAATATAAGCAAATGGAGAGGCTTTCTGTTTCAGAAGCCCTTTGTAATGGGAATTTGGACATACAACACATCGAGGGAAAGGAATCATTTAGAAATTTAAGGGAAGATCTCTCTGAACCATTTAATACCAATATGCATGAGCACAGCATGGACATAGTTTCAGGTTCTGAAAGCTTGACTAAGTTGGAAGATGTGCTGGCAAACAGAACTGTTGAATCTGCAACGGATGATCCAGAGCAAGATGTTACTATGGCCTTGTGGGTGAAGGTATATGCTAACTGGTTTTCTTGGTAAATATTATTGGTTGAAAAATATGTGGTGTTTTGATTTATTGAATTATGTTTAAGTTTGCCAATGCAGAAAAACATATATTCTGGATGGAAAAGTGTACAGTAGATTGGACTGTGGAAAATCATAGTCAGGTTGAGTCATCACCATCCATTGAAAGGGACAGTGGAGAGAGAGAGCGGGACTCTCTTTTGGGGTCATGTCCTGTTCTAGCGAGTTCCACTCTGCCTCATTGCTGTTCATACACTCATTGGACGATGATGACCCAAATGAAATATGTTCCTCCATGCGAAATAACAATCACACTTTCCTTATTCTGGTGAATGAAAAATCTCCGTTGATATTTTCATATTTTTTGTATGAAAATTAGATAGCTATCTTACTCCAAAAGCTCATCTATCTCTCCTTTACTTGTTACAGTGGAGAGGGAAATGGCAGGCAGGAATTCGATGTTCAAGGGCTGATTGTCCTTTGTCTGTCTTGAGGGCAAAACCCACTCATGGGAGGAAAAAGTATTTTGTCGTATATTTTCCCCATACAAGAACACATTCGTGGGCAGATATGATACTTGTTCGTCCAATTTATGATACACCAGAGCCTCTTGCTTATGGTACACACTATGGTGGCATAGAGTTGGTCAAGGATTTGAACACTCCCCGTCATTATATAGTGCAAAAGCTTGCAATTGCTATGCTAGATATAAGTGATCGACTACACACAGAGGTGTAATACATTTTCTTTCTTCTCTTGCCTGTTTCTTCTGCTTGGTTTTTGATTTTATGAGAGTGGAAATGCAATGGACCAAGGTTTCAAAAAACGGTCCACCCGCACGCTTGGACTTGGGCGCCCCATTCTTAGCAGTTGTACCTGGGCGCCCAGCACCCAATTCTGGGTGGGCACCCAGGGACGTGGGCCTTTTTTTAATTTTACAGATGCCCAAAAGGGGCAGAGGGGGTAATTTCGAGCCCTAAAAATGTTTAAATAGGCTATGGGGGTTATTTTCAACCCCCAAAGTTAAAATAACACTTTCATAACTCCTCAATCTCTTAGCTATACCTATTTCTGAGAATCAAGAGTATTTCTTGTGGTTTGAAGAAGCTTCCTAAATTTTTCTCTTATTATGGAATATGGAGAGTTGGAGACTATCATTAATACATAACCTATTAGACTTTTAAATTTTGTATGGTTTGAATTCTGAAATTTTGAACAAATTTTTTCTCAACATGCAATATGTCATATGTTTGTATATAAAAAAATATGTTACAATATTTTCAAATGCAATACGTTATAAAACTGGCACAAGTATATGCATATATGTGCGTTTGGACAACACATATGTATATATCTAATGAATTTGTACTACAGGGTGCTTGAGGTTCTAGGCCGCCTAGTGTTTTTTGAAACCTTGCAATGGACTAAAGAATATCTATTGGGTTTATCACCATGCAATGAAATGATGGATGGCGAGAAGCGGGTGTGGGACCCACCATTTGTGTTCATGTCCTGTTATGATGGGTCCAACACTCAGTCCATCGCTCTCCATGATTTCCTTGTGTGATGATGACCCCAATGGTGCACTGTATTAATCCATTGGAAATATTTTACTTTTCCTCCAATTCGTTTATATCTTGGTATGTTGCTTTGGCTTAGAACTTGCTCTTTCTTGATCAGGCTGTGATTGAGAGTGCTCGCAGGGTTACAGCTTGGAAGGAATTTGCTAGGGAAGCTTCTAGATGTGAAGGCTATTCTGATCTCGGAAGGATGTTACTTAAACTTCACAGTGTAAATCTTTTCCCTTTCTTGATGGATGGGCCTAGGAGCTGTTTGTGATAGCTAAATTATTATTCTAATTTTTGAGAAATCATACTATAAATCCTATGGAATATAGATATTAACAAGTCATTGATGGTTTAGTGAAATCAGTAATTAAAGAATTACTGAGTTAGGCACGGACTCGGATCTCATCCGAGTCACTTAGACCGGGCAAGGTGCCTGGTCCGGATGGCTATCCCTAATATGGGGTGAATCAGACTTTGGCCTGAGTCCTAAAGCTAAAAGTCTTTGTATTTTTTAATCGAGACTCAACCGCGTTGGGCAGTCTGGTTCTCCCTAGCCAGCCTGTGACTATGGGTTGGGACCCTGGTGAGTCAGAGGCTGAGCCTGGGTTCTTAACGACTGTGTGAAACAATTTGTGCAGATTGTTTATCTTGAAGAAACCCTCTTCACTGTAGTTCCCTTTCTCTTTGATCTTCACATGCGTGCCTTACTTGATGACTTGTGGCGTATTTCACCACATGCTCTCTGTTTTAATTATTTGTTTATAGTTTGATTTGAGGCCTTTGTTAATCACAATTGTCATAGTCTGGTGCATAATTATTGGAAGACACGTATGTTGAATTTGCTTATCCAGAAAGAGGCAAAATATATATGGGATTCACATATTTTTTCATTCACTGTAATAGAACATGCCAAGTGCAATGGGGAGGTTTTACACCTCCTTGTTTTATCCATTATAATTCCTGTCTTCTTTCCTATCTGTCTATGTAAGAAGGCATAAGTGTCCAATCCCATATTATTTTATAGACTAAATTTTATTTCTGGCAGATGATACTGGTTAACTACATAAACCCTAACTGGCGAGAAAAATCTTTTGACTCTTGGGCAAAACGTTGTCAAAATGCACGAAGTGCTAGATCAGTTGAAGAACTTACTGAGGTATTTGCTTTTCATTGGTTTCGTGTTTGTACATTATGTGAAATATAGGTGCATTCTTTCTAGTTATTTTTCACATGTCTTAAGAGTAAATGGCTTAGGTTGTAATTGCTCGGACTCCAGATGTTGAGTTACTTTCATCATGGGCATGATTTACTCCATTCCCATTTTTTTTCTTGTTTCTTTGTGGTTATGGCAAAGTATACTACAATCCTATGGACTATATGAAATCATAGTCCATTTGGATTATTGCCGTCTAATGATGTGATGGACAGCTATGTATAGAGATTTTTGTCCTAGGTGAACGGGAAGTAACCCCAATTGTGTTGGGTCCTTTATCCTCTCTCCATCACTGTCCATCATTTCATAGGGTGATTATGGTCCTCCCAGAACAGGAAGTAACCAGATTGGTATTGGATTCCACTCCATCACGATTCATCATGTCATTGGATGGTGATGACCCGATGGAGTTTGGGTTTTCCCACTCTATTCGATCATTGTATACTCTTCCTTAGGTATATTTATGTAGGTGACTTGTTGGATCATTGTAGATCATTGTATACTCTTCCTTAGGTACATTTATATAGGTGAAAGTTGATGTAGTTTGTTATTATTGAGTCAGGAACTGGTGGATTCTGTGCTTTGGGATGAAGTTTCAGATCTTTGGGATGCACCTGTCCAGCCTGATCTTGGGTCAGAATGGAAGACTTGGAAGCATGAAGTCTTGAAGTGGTTCTCAACATCGCATCCTTTAGAGCAGAGGAGCTTCAATGACTCGGGAAGCTTTGCCCCCCAATTAACCAGAAAAAGGCCAAAGCTTGAGATTCGCCGTGCCCAAGTAGAAAAGTTTCAAAAACATGCTCAAGGAGCACAGATTGATGCCCAATTAAGCAATTCTCAGAGTCTTGAGAAGGCTCCTTCTCTCTCGGAAGGACCGTCTACTGGGGTTTCTTTGCAGAGTGCAAATCACATTTATTTGGCGAACAGGGGTGATGCAATTGCTCTTGAAAATGAGAATATGTGTTCTCCCATTAAAGAAGATATGGGTACACCTGTCGGTGGAGGGTCTACGTTTCGCCAATGCGTTGCCTTATTAGAAGATAAAGGGAGAGAATGTGGAATGTGGGTGAATGATGGGGGCAGTTATTGTGATTTACATATGAATACCTGTACTCCCATTGGTGAGCAATCAGCTTCTCCTACTTCCAAGGATTTGATATGTGCAGGAAGGACAACACATGGTCGGAGATGTTCACACCGCTCTCGAAATGGTGCTCCTTATTGCAAGAAACATATGTACCAGGATCATCAAGATTCAGCCATTATTGAAGTGCCATCAAGTTCATCACCGAATAAGCTTAAGCGAAAATTTGTACAGGAGAGAGAACTGGAGACCAATTCTACCTCAGGAGTTGTTTCTAATTCTTGTAGAGAAATTGTTTTAGCAGGGGAAGATAATACTCCTATTGTGGGGCATAAAGCAGAATGCGAAACTGATTCTACACGTGGCCCACTTATGGGTTCTGAACATGGTAGTACATCATCTGCGCCCACGAAATTTTATAGTCCCGAGATGCCACGGTGTGCTGGGTGGTGTAGGAAGAACAATGACCAGTGTTTACACAGGGCAAAACCATACTCTTTTTACTGTGAGAAACATGTACCAAGTTGGCTTAGACAAGGAGCAAAGAGTAGTGACCCATTGATCTCCTCCGATGTCTTTCACGACCTTCTCAGGAATTCAAATTCGGGGAGAGAGAAATCACACTTCCATCGGGCTTCCGAACTCCTCCATGAATTCATGAGGGGGAGCCTTTCTAAAGGTGCTGATCAAAGCACAGATGCTAAGGGAAGATATATGGATTGGATTATATCTGAGGCCTCCAAGGATGCAAGTATTGGAGAATGTCTTTTGAAGCTGGTTTCTCGTGAGAGAGAGAGGATCAGGGCACTCTGGAGATTTGATACGAATAATGAGATGGCTATTGTACCCTATGTTTCATCATTGAATTCGGAAGAAACCCCAAGTCTACTTTTGCCGTGCAAGAATGATGGTAGAGTTGAAGATCAAAGTGCCACCCTAAAATGCAAACTTTGCTGTCTTGGCTTCACTGACGACCAAAATCTTGGGGTGCACTGGATGAAAATTCACAGAAAAGAAGCCCAGTGGCTCTTTCGGGGGTATGCTTGTGCTATTTGCAAGAGTGCTTTCACTAACAAGAAAGTTCTCGATTTGCATATTAGAGAGAGACACTGCCAAGAACCACTAGAGAAGTGCATTTTATTACAATGCATACACTGCAATTCCCATTTCACTAATCTTGAACAAATGTGGCAGCATGTTCTTGCCTCTCACTCTTCAGAATTCAGCCTTCCTTCTAATGCTCAAGTCCAAAATCATCTCTCTTCTGCAGACCCGAAGCTTGAATTACTCACCAGCTTGTTGGGTTCAAGAAAACTCAACAGAAATCCAAATGGAAACCATGATAATTCACGCAAGTATAGTTGCAAGCTTTGTGGGTTGAAATTTGACCTCTTACCTGACCTAGGGCGCCATCATCAAGCTGCACACATGCAACCCAACAGGCCCTGCAACTTCCCCCCTAGGAGAGGTCACACTTCCAATGCTTCTAAAGCCAAACCCAACAAGATACTGAAATCAAGATTGAAGAGGGGACATAGAATCCCAATTGGAGTTAAGAAGACCACCACCTTTGGCATCAAGAAACACTTGCAAAGGCTGAATTTAGTAAGCTCTAGGAAGGGAATTCTACAGTCACCAGAAACCTGGGCATCCGAAAAAAATGTGGAAGAGAGGCCCATCGAGTCATATTGTTCTTCTGTGGCCAATATTTTGTTCCCTAAGTTTCAAAGGACAAAGCTTCGGCCTACCAATAATGACATTCTAGGGTTTGCTCGCTCTGCATGTTGCAAGGCTAGCCTGCTTGCTGCTCTAGAGTGCAAGTATGGTGTACTATCAGAGAGATTGTGCATAAAGGCAGCCAGGCTCTGTAGTGAGATGAATGTCCCTATTGAGTGGCACAGGGAGAAGTTTATATGTCCCAAAGGTTGCAAACCTATAATGGATACATATGCCCTGGGGATTCTGATGCCACTTCCTCTTGGGGTCATAACCGAGAGTCCTTCTGAACCATTGGATCTCTGGAAATCATCTGGTGATGCGGCAAATGGGGAAATGTGGGAGATGGATGAGAGCCACTGCGTACTTGATTCTAGGCATTTTAAAAGAAAATTTAGTTGTGACAACGCCATTGTTGTATGTGAGGATTTGAGCTTTGGAAAGGAATCAGTTCCGGTTGCTTGTGTAGTTGATCAGGAAATAATAGATTCTATCTATGGTGTTGTTAATGATGAGCTTAAAGCTAAGGAGCTTAGCCCTTGGAAGGGCTTCACCTATATCACTGAGAGATTGCTTGATCCTTCCCTTGGTCTTGATACTAAGGTATGAAACCGCCAATTTCTTTTTTTCATTGGTTCCTTCTGATGCTTTGGTTAAGATGTTGGTTTTTATTGTGTAGAAATGCTGATAATTTCGGGTTTTGGAATGATATGGGCTTGTGACCAAAATCACCAAATGGAAATTTCTGAAATTTCAGCCAAAATTTGGTCTTTAGCTTTTCCTTTTTTGAGTTACAAAGGGCAAAAGAGGCATCCCAAATTTTAGCAAGTGCTGAATTGGGCAAACCCAGATGGATAATGGAAGAATAGGGATCCTAATAAAACTAGCCAAAAAAATTCTTTTTACTACTCCTATTTTTCTTTACTTAGAAAACAAAAAAACATCTGCTTAATTTTCTAACAAAATCCTAATCATTAAAAAGAAAAAATAAGTTCTAACAATGTCTTAAGAACTAATTTGGAGAAAATAAATTAGTTTTGTGTTACTGCAAATCCTTGAATTGAAGAGAGTAGCTTCAACCTGACGAAGATGAATGCAAATAATACCTTTAATGGGTTCTGGTGTGCAGAGTTCACAGTTGGGCTGTGCTTGCCCTCAGTCAAGGTGTCATCCTGAAACATGTGATCATGTCTACCTCTTCGACAATGACAATGAAAATGCTGAAGACATACATGGAAAATCAATGCATGGAAGATTTCCATATGATGAAAAAGGCAGAATTATTTTGGAGGTAATGATAGATGATTGTTTTTAGTTTTTTGGGTGACTTAATTGTGATGTTCATGGAGCATGCTTTTGATTGGGTTCTGATTTAGGAGGGTTACCTGGTTTATGAGTGCAACTCTATGTGTAGCTGTGATCGAACTTGTCAGAATAGGGTTTTACAGAAAGGAGTGCGAGTTAGATTGGAGGTTTACAAGACAAAGAACAAGGTAATCCTTAAAATCTTTTGTTTTTGCAAATATAAAAACGTTCTAATTGAGTGTTTATTAACTTTTTTCTTCGATTTCATGTTATGTCAATGGTGATAGTTCATTTAATTTTTTACTTTAGTGTCATGTTAAGTTGATGGGGAGTTGGTGACACTTTAATTTAGAGGGTGCTGGTTTCCCGTAAAGAAAAACATTTGGCTTGCTGTTTAACAGGGATGGGCAGTGAGAGCTGGTGAAGCAATCTCACGTGGAATGTTTGTATGTGAGTACATTGGAGAGGTTCTGAATGATCAGGAGGCAAACAGGAGAGGAGAGAGGTTTGATATCCTCATCTGTAGATGATGATGATGATGATTTATTATTATTATTATCATCATCATCATCATTGTTATTAACTTTTTTTTTTTTATTATGTTAACTTTGTATTGATGGGAATGTTATTGTCATTATTATTATCATCATCATCATCATTATCATCATCATCATCATCACTATCATCATTATTATTATTATCACTGTCATTACTATCACTTTATTATTATCACTATCATTACTATCACTTTTATTATTATTATTATTGTTATTATTGTTGTTGTTGTTGTTATTATTATTATAAAGTGCAGTTTCTATAAGGTTGCTTCCTTATACTCTAGAAGTAAGGTGCACCTTTAAAATCTGGTCAAGGGTGTCGTTTTGGTGTCGGAAACCTTATGTTGGCTTGAAAATATATTCTTATCCCTTGCTATAAAATTTAAAATTTTAATATGGTACAGATCAAGCAGATCAATAAACACTTGAAAATCTTGAAAATTGACGGTCTAGATAGCTTGTTACAAGATGCACTATTGTTTGGACTTGGAATTCTTTTTTTTTGCTTCATGTACATATATCTCGAGGTCGAGATGATCAATCGGAGGGTTTTGTCCAATGCTTGAACACTTGAGGTGCATTTCACTTTAATAGTTTAAGGTTGCAACCTTATATAAACCTTTTCCTATCATTATCATCATCATTGTCATCATTATTAAATTGGGATCATTGTCGTCATCGTCATCATGGCCATCATCATCATTGTCATTATCTTAATCATCATTGGTCATAAAACATTAAACAACTCTCTCTCTTTGACACACACGGGCACGCACAATCATCTTACTTATCTCCTCAAAAAAGAGCAATATTTGTAATGGTGTCTTCATTTACATTAAATTGGATATAAAATTTTCAGGTATGACAATGAAGGTTGCAGCTATTTGTATGACATCGACGCCCATATTGGTTCAAGTGGCTTTGTTGAAGCAGTGCCTCCATATGTGATTGATGCCACAAACTATGGAAATGTAGCGCGCTTCATCAATCATAGGTATCAGTTATCTGTGCTCTATTTCTTGAAAATTTGAATGAAAATGGTTTTAGTATGCATTAATTTCTTGAGATTGTAACACTGACTTCTATTAGTTTTGTGGTGTTCTGTCACCAGTTGCTCTCCAAACCTTGTGAACTATCAAGTGCTGGTGGAGAGCATGGATTGCCAACTTGCGCATATTGGTCTCTATGCTAGTAGGGATGTATGAACTCTCTCTCTCTCTCTCTCTCTCTGTGTGCACGCCCCTCTGCGGCATGCATGCATGTGCCCTTCACCCCCCTCTGTCTCTCTAAGGCATGCATACACTCGAGCAATTCTCACCTGCTGCCAAGACAGCTGAATCTAGTTACATCTTCTAGCTTTCCTGGGCTTGTGCCAATCCATGTACACATGAATATGCGTCTGTAACCCATGGAAGCTCACATGCACTCACTTTGTACAAGCACACCATGCACACAGGTGTACGTGATTGGAACAGTAGTTGCCACCATATACCTTGAGAGTTCATGCCCTTGAAAAGAGTCTTCTCTCTCACACACACACTGCAACTACAATGCAATATGGCTCTCCACGATGCACATTTCATGAAATACTGAACATTTAGCAGTTGTACTACTCTCTCTCTCTCTCTCTCTCTCATATGCATCTACTTGGTTACATTTTGATGAACAGATTGCAATAGGCGAAGAATTGGCATATGACTATCGCTACAGGCTGCTCCCTGGGAATGGGTGCCCTTGCCAATGCGGGACCGCAAACTGCCGTGGCCGCCTATACTGACTCATAAACTAATCGCCTCATCTCTATTTAACATTACCTAAGACATTCTCTTTTTACAGTCTCAAATATGGCCGTCAAGTATGAGAGAGAGAGCATTCTAGGGTTGGTCGGGGACGAAGCATTTGATTGCCATTGTTTCTCTTACACCATTGCAATCATCAAGGAGGTATGTATTCTGGATGATTGAAAGAAAAGCGTGTATGGAAACATTATCTATGATTTTTTTTCTCTCATCACTGTATTATGCAGTGAACAGTTGGAGATCCTGATTCTTATGTAAAGTTGTTGGCTTCCAAAATGTATAATACATCCATTTCACAAACTTGGTTTCTCAGGCGTTGACCTCTTATTGCGGCCACAGACATGGGCTTCATGGAGGCTTTCTAAATTAAGCATAAATATGTAGGGTTTATTACTTTGTTAAGTGTGTTAGTTATTGGGAAACTAATAGCATTGTCATTTATGTCTTCAAGCTTATGATTTGTTTAAGAGAGGCAGATTATATGGCGCTTGAAATTTGAAAAATAGAATTTCCTGAGAGGACTCATGTATCTTCCATATAGGACTTTAACACCTATAATGGGTAGGGGTGGCAACTGATCGGTCGGGTCTGGCAAAAATAAAAAAAATGTATTTATATTTAAACATATTTGAATATTAGGTTAAATATATACATGTACTATTTAAATATTATAATGAAAAATAATATAGTTATATTTATTTAAATATTATTAAAATATTATCCTGATTCATTGGAACAATTTGATGAATTTAGTAGATCCTTTTAGTCCCAATGACTGTGGATAGAATATATTCAATTTTTACAATGAGATGATTGGTTGTTCGTGGACTAGCTGTACCGATACTTTTTTTTTCGTGATGTCAATATCAGCAATGCAATTCAACCAACAATAAACTTTATTTGAATTCATTATAGAGCTACAACGATAAACCTAATTTGAATTCACTATAGAGCTACGACACAATCAAACCCAAACGAACAAAATGTTGTATTGAATCGTACCAATCTCTATTGGGGTCTGGGGTTAGCGTTTGGGTCCAATTTTTTAGCCCGTATCCAGACCCAACAGTTTGGTCCCGGGTCGGGTCTGGGTCCATTGCCACCCTTAATAGTGGGATATGGCCTAGAACTAAATGGTTTTCAGGAGTGGAAAAGCATCAGGATTGTAGAGAGAGAGAGAGGAAGGGAAGCCGGTGGGCAAAAAAAGAGCCAAATACTCGGAAAATGTGATTACTACAATGGTTGTAACATACAATTTCAAACAATGTAACATATTCTCAACGCCATCCACATCAACAAATGACATTGATGCTCAGACATTACTCCACCAGAGCAGACAATGGCAAATATGCAGAAAATTGGCTCATGTAGATATGATGGCAAAAAACACCTGTCCCATATCATTTGCTATGATAAAATTTCTCTTTTTTTTTTTTTAATGCTCTCTCTTTATACAACTTAACACGATTTCAAATTTCAACTAAAACTCACCTGAGTTCATTCCGGGGACTAGGGCTCAGCCCGAGTCCGACTTTTTAAACACGGACATGAATCATGATATGCTTTCGCTTTTCTTCTTTAGACTCATGTTTTTCTTTGAGTACCTAAATGACTGTATTTCTCAATTGGAGAAACATTTTGTTACCACTATTTTTTTATTTTTTTTTTGGGAAAATTTTAACAAAGTTTCATTAAGTGGTCAAAGAGTTACAAGAGGAGGCCAAGAAGGCCTCAAGAAGAACAAACTAAGAAAACACAAAACAAAGAAAAAAGAGAACAGTACAAGGAAATTAGAAGCCTGAAGCTGCTTTAGCTAAAGCATCAGCCAAAGAATTCCTTTCTCTGTTGACATGCATAAATATGACTTGTCTCCCGCTCAAAAGAGTAAGAATCTTGGCCATTGCATCTATCTATTTATATGGGACGTAGGAAGGATTGATATACCACTTAATTACATTGGAGGAATCCCCTTCAATGATAAACTTAACATGAAGGTTTAGAATAGCAAATTTGAGGCTTAAAAGCTCTGCTTCTACCGCCTGACAAGGTGGCAACTGTCCTTGTCATGTCCGTATAATTTGGCCCCTTTCATCCCTTAGTGCCCCTCCATAACCTGCCGTCGTCCCATTGTTCCTTACATTGCCATCAGAAATCCATTTTCACCCACTGTGAGGAAGGGTTCTCCAAACCTCAACCTTTCAGATCTTGTGTTTCCTTAGAAACAGAAGTTGATTGAAGTTCATCTCAAGAATCTAATCTTATTTGGGAACACTTCTGAATCCTGCTTGTGTTTGCGCCCAGACAACTCATGCTTTCAATTGCACCAATAGACATAAATCTCTGATCAAAGATTCTGAATTTCTTTCCCTATGTGCCACAGGACTGCAGCCAGTCATCTTCCATAGGACATGCCTAATTTAGAAAAAGGCATAGAAGTGATCTTCAACAACAACTAATATACAGTTCTGGCATGATCCAATCACATTGAATTTTATCCAAAACCCACCACCGTAGTTCACCTGCAAGATCGCAATGAAGAAATTAGTGATATTTGGTTTCAACTGCCCTCCTACATAATATGAATCATTCCTAATTTTTGTAATTCAATGGAAAAGGCACGATCTCTACTTGCCAGCCACCAGAAAGCTTTAACTCGAAGTGGTATCTTAAAGCCCCATACTTTAGAAGACCATGGGATTCTATGGAAGTAGATACCCTGGCTTAAAACTGTATACAAGGATTTAACAGTGAAGTTCCCTCCTGGCTCTAGCTCTCAAATAATCCTATCTTCTCTTTTAGGGAAGTAGAAATGACTACGCAATAATCGTAACAATTCTATAAGTTGTAATAACACATAGTGGTGTACCCTTTTGTATCTGAGAACTACTTCCTATACAACTTTGTGTCCCTCTTCAGATACTGTTTCTCAGACAAGGTAACTTTTATTGGAAGCAATCTTGTAGATATTCAGGAATGAAACTTTCGGTGCTTGATCACCAATCCATTTTATAGTCCAGAATTTAGCCTTACTCCCATCACCAGCTATCATCCTTGTGCGCCAAAAACACAGGCTTGACTTTTTTAATATCCTTCCAAACCACAGAAGTCCCCCCTCTTTTCACCTTTGTCAGAAAGTTTGCATTCATCAGTTCTATATTTGTTCAAGAGCGCCTGCTTCCATAAACGTAGCTTCCCAAACCTTAGCCTTCACCATCACTTAGTCAAAACAGCTTCATTGAAAAGTCTTAATCTCTTGTTCTTCTGGTCTTCCAAGAATCCAATTTCACAGTGAACCTATCAATTACCGGGTCCCAAGCAGCTAAAGATAGCCTGTTATCAACTAAAGGCAGGCCTAAATATCTAATTGGAAAGTTGTCGAAACCACATCCCATCCAAGAGGCCCATGCCCTTATCTCCGCCTCAGCACAACTAATGCCATGATTTTAGTCTTAACAAAATTAATATTGGCTCCCGAAATTAGTCGATTACATTTGAAGAACAACTATAGATACTTCATTGATACAAAGAGGCCAAACCATGATTGTCCACACCATGCAACATCAAACTAAAGAATTCCCCTACTAAAGTATAAAGAAAATGGGATAAAGGATCCCCCAGCCTTTAACTCTGGAGGCCTTAAAATAACCAACTGCCTTGCCATTGATGGGTAGGGCTGCCAATGGTCTGGGCCGGGCGATGTATTCAGGCCTGGTATGGGCTTCGGGCAGGACCAAAGGAAAGGCGACCTTTATCGGGCCAGGCCTGGCTTCTAACAAGCCGTCCCAAAACCCTTCTTGCCCCCTCTCTCCCCGACCCGAACTCTCTCTCTCTCTCTCGGCCCAGGACGGGCCAGTCCGGTGGCAGCCCTATTGATAAGCATGGAGAAATTGGCTGAGGAGAGGCAACCTCGAATCCACTTGTATCATTTATTACCAAAACCCATAAGCCGGAGAATTTGGTCAAGATAGTTCTACTCCACTATATCATATGCCTTCTCAAAATCTATCTTGCACATCAGCCCCTTGAGTCCTAGACTTTTGACATAATGAATCATCTCTTAAGCTAAAAGGATATTGTCCATAGTTTGACAATCTTTTATAAAGGCTTACTGCGGACCAGTAACCACCTCAGGAGTGGCCTTCTTTAATCGCTTAGCAAGCACCTTAGCTAGAATCTTGTAAACTAAAGATAGAAGGCTAACATGCTTAATATTTTGTAGTGACAAAATGTTTTGTTTCTTGAGGACTAAAGCTATAAAGGTAGAATCGGTGGTCTTGTTGACATCTCCCCTTTGATGAAATTCCGTAAAGAAGGCCACCAAATCACTCTTGATCACATCCCAAATTTTTTGAAAAAGATACTTTTGATCGAACTCATGAGTGACGTTCAATCGATTACCTTATCTAGAACCTTGTAAACTGAAGATTGAAGGCTAATAGGCCTAATATCTTGTAGTTACATAATCCTTTGTTTATTGGGGATTAAAGCTACAAAGGTATAATTGATGGCCTTGTTCACAACTTCCCTGATGAAATTCTGCCACCATATAACTTTTGAAGATATCCCAAAATTTATGGAAGGATACCCATGGTGCTATGTATGTGGGAAGCTGGAAAACTGGCTCGAACTTCTTCAATGGTAAGCTCCCTTTCTAAGTATGGGGCGACAATCTCTTGAACGGAATAGTGTCGACTGAAACTTAAATTAGGCTTTGACTGGTAGGCATCCCTGAAATAGCTCTCTTTGGCTAGCGGTTCATCCTCCCTAACCTCGGTAAAGAGATACTTTTGGTATTGTATTGTTGGCTCTTTTTCTTGAATTGGCAATTGCATATAAGTATTTGCTCCTTCCCCAACCCACTCTGACCTTGACCTTTGAAATCAGTATGTTTGGTCATGCAACTTCTGTTTCATGTTCAGCTCCCCATTTAAACATTCACATGTTCAAGGAATTGAAGGTAAAATTGGGCGGTCTAACCGGTAACCACCCGTTTAGCGGCCGGTTCCGATTTCGGTTGGTTTTGGTGACCGGCTGAGTATTTTTTAAAAAATTATATAAAATAAAAAAAATTAAAGGATTTTATTTGTAATGAATTTTTTAATGTTTTTCATCATTATAGCAAAGATTGAAAATTGTTTTGGCCATTAATACTTATTTTTACATTTTCCTATCTTTTTTGAAAAATTTCAAAAACACTCCTGGACACAAATCGATTGTTTAAAATCTATTTTTTTCATTAATTTTGAACTTCATTTGGATTCGATTTGTTTAATCATTCTTTAAATATATTTTTCATATTCTATCAGATTTATTTTGTAATTTTTGTTAAATATATTTTATCATATTGCTATCATATTTTTCATTTGAATTCGATTTATTTTTTTAAACCGGTTAGCTATCTATAACTTGGATGTTTTCCCACCCATTGGTCACTTCTCTTCTAAGGGAGCCATCTTGCAACTACATAAGCTCAAATGTAAAAAGGAATATGTATCTAACATTATAAGCATGTGGTGAGAGGTCACTTGGGCAAAGATTTGAATTTTGTTTTAGGGGAATATCATTTCCTAATTCTATGTTGCTAGAGCTCTTATCAATTTTGGACATTTGAGGCAGTGTAGCAAACTTGTTGGACATGCTCCTAACAAATTGAAATCCATTTGCCTGAATAACGTTCTTTTACCTCTTTTTCTAGAATTTGTTCCTAGTCCTCGTACCATGATCACATTTTCCAATGGCAGAGAATCCAGCATAGGCCAAAGAAGGCCATTATTGTCCTCTACAACCACGTTATTAATGGTCTCTCTCCGCACTAATTACTCTCTCACGCGTATAAAGGCTTGCACTAATTACTGTCTCTCCCCTTGATGAAAAATTGGCATAAAGGTCTATAACACATTCTTCTCTCTCGCCACACATTCTTCTTTTCCTCTCATTCTCCTTTTTCCTCTCTCTGCCATAAGAGAGTTTCTGATTGCCCTGTGACATAACAGGGTTTGTGATTGCTCCAAGGAAAGTCCCCAGACAAGATTCAAACCTCGGCCCGAAAAAGAACAATCCTTGAAACTTGAAGGATCGAGGACTCGTAACATTAACCTTTCAAGGCAGAATATCTTCCATCCATTGGATCAAGCACGATCGCCCCCGGCACAGGGATCAAGAAGATAGATACCAGAATCCAAAAAAAATTATGTGCTGAAAAAACCGGCCAAACCTCTGATTCAATTTCATCTGGCCCAGTTTTAGTATTTTTTGAAATCTTTCTTGTTAATGTTTGCCAAGTCAAACTCGGAATCGAACAATTTGAATGAGGGGGCCTCAGCCTCGAACCCCTATCGAGTCATGGCAGGATTCCCATTTTTTAATGGTTTGACCACAGATAGAAACTGCCGCATTACAGTTCAAAATTCAGCCTACCCACCCCAAAAAAACCAGTTCCAAGCTGTGTCAAACAATAATATCCATATTGTAACTGTAACGACCATGTACATTAACACATCACAAACACCACAAAACATCAACAGAGAAATGAGATTTTATATATCCGGAGTCTTAGGCAACCTGTACAAGATGCACAAAAAATAGGGAGAAAGACCCATAAACATATACATAACCAAGTTTGCTTGCCAAAACCTTGAATTTCGTTCTTTTCTTTCTCTGATCAATCGGGTGCCCAATAAGAAGAGGGAAAAAAATCCACTTCGACCTTCCAAATGGGTAAAAATGATACCTGGTCTTGAGTTAGAAAACTGACTCTATGTACACTTAGAGATGCTGCTAATAAGGAAAAACCTGCCATATTTTTTCCCCCTCTTGCCTTATTGTTAAAATGTGAAGAGTAGTTTGTTTATTCTTTTCTGTTGTTAAACCCTCTTATCGATTACCTCAGCAGGTAGGTTGAGGTCAAAAAGGAGGCTTCCTAGGGTTTCTTCACGGGCCCGCTTCCTACTAGAGCACCCGTTATCATCCAGGCTTGCACAGGAGACTTGGCCTTCAGAACGAGGCTCTGAATCTGTGCAACAATTTTCTCTATCACATAAGCTTTTGATAGATAATGCTCTCTCTTTCTCGATCCTAATTTTCGTAGAAATTTCACCTTTTCACAACAAAATTAGTGAGAAAAAAAGCTAGAAAAGCACACACAAAAACACATTAGCAAAAAGTTACAGCAGCAAATAGTGAGAGATCACAAACAGGCAAAAACAATTTATAGCATGGTGAAGACATGGGTTAAAGAAAGTGGATAGTAAACTGCTTGCAAAAGTGAAACGTTATGTGACAGTATATAAATCAACACTACGATCTATATTGCTTTTGTTTTAAAAAAAAGAGTTCTCCTCCAAATATACAAAGAAATAACAAAAGAAAATGGAAAGATTGATGCCAAAATGACAGACAGTAATCTGTAACTGTCGTGATACATAAGCAAGTCTTCAAATTGGTAACAGATAAATAGTTTATTTTTAAAAAAGAACACAAAAAGAGTTTGCAACAAATATATCAGCTATAAATGCACATCAAGGAAAAGAGTGAAATCAATATCACCAAAAAGAAATCGAGAAAATGAATAAAATATAAACAGTACTGAAAACCAGAAGACAATAAAAAAAGAGAGCAATCATTTGACAATGAGCTGAGTAACTAAGGTTTTATGCAGAAAGCATGCTTTGGGGAGGAAATAAATTGTGATAGGCCAATAGCAGTTAAAAAAAATATGCGAAGTTAAAATTAACGGTGACGAGGGGCTGAGCCTGAGCCAAGTCATGGCTAGCGGAGCCAGGCCCAAGTCTGACATCGCCCAAGGGGCCTGCCCAGGACCAGCCCTACTCTTGGGCTAGGTGGCCCAGCCAGGTCCTGTTAACATGGCCGGGCCAGGCTGGGTCAATGGATATTACTTTTTTGTTATTTCTAAATTCATTACAAGAAAAACAAAAAAATGGCAGGATTGAACCAAGCCCAGCCATGAACCCCCTGGGCCCAGGCCGAGGCCCAGACCCAGCCCAAACACTATGCCAAAAATTCATGGCTAGGCCAGGGAAATTTAGTGGCCAGGGCCCAGGGCATTCCTGCTCAAGCCGCCCAGCCCATTTCCACCGTTAGCTTAAAATATATTATAGTTTAAGGGAGCAAGGAAAATCACTGTACATTAAGGCTATGACCATCCACTAAAATGGTTACGTGAGGGAGAGAGGCAAAAATACATACCAGTACCAGGTGCACTTGAAACCCAAGAAGGGTCATGAGCATCATCATCATTAGCCTTTGAGCTGTTCAATATTTGATCAGAATCTGGGCAAACCGAAAGCTCAGATGCTCTCTCTATACCCTTTGATGTGTAAGGCGCAATGCTATGAGTTGTCGACTGGAGCAAACCCAATAGATCATTTTCAATGCATTCATACCTGAAAAGGTAAGCAAATTAAGGTGGGGAGCAATATAGCAATATGGGGATATTAACTCTCGTGAAACCAAGCATAAACTTTCACTTTGTAATAAGGAATGCAGACTAAGATTGTTTGGACAAAATACACCAAAGCATCAATTTTGTTTTGTCTAGCCAAATATAGCACATTCCCCCAACTCTGACACAAACCGCATATGCATATGCGAGAGAGAGAGAGAGAGAGAGAGAGAGAGAGTTGGAGCTAAATTTCCATATTGGTTGGTTTTTTTTGGAGAGAGCAAGAGAGAGAGAGAGAGAGAGAGAGAGAGAGAGAGAGACTACTATGTTCTTGCAGACGTAGGTACTACAACGAACGTAACGGTACAGTAGTTAGTATTATATGTACTACTTACGTTAACTTTACCGTTTCGT